TCTGGAAAATTTAAGGGGTAGTTATATAATAATTTTGGACGATCTCGAGCGGTCGGATACTTATGACCGCTACTGTAATTATAAAAATAAATTGCATCTTTATTCTTTCCTATTCTTTTTTTTTAAAATAGAAAAAAAATCATAATGATCTTAAAATCTTATTTTTATTTTTCCCAATCACAACCCCTTAATATGAAGAAAAAAATTTTTTTAAAAATTTTTCTATATATTTAATTATATGATTCATTTGATAAATAAAAAATATAAATTTCATCTTTTTTTTTCTTTCCTATTCTTACTTTTTTTTAAAGTGAAAAAAATCATTGTTTTTTGTAAATAAAACTTCAAAATAGCTTTTAAAATAATGACTATCTGATGTTTATAATTCTATTATCCAACTAGATTCAAATGTTGTGAAAATCACAAAAAAAATTAGGTAAATTATGATTATACTTAAATTGCAAAAAATTATCAAATTTATTATAAATTCGTAATCTATCAAGTTTAGACATTAACTCAAATATCAATTTAGAGAATGTTAAAGTAATTGGGTTAGAATAAATAATATTAGATTAGAATTTCTATTTGAAATACAAATTGTATTTCAAATATTTAAAAGGTTTTTGAAATGATTTTGAAATGATTTTTATTAAATATTAAATATTATTTTCACATTTTTTTTATTTTTTAGTTTTTTTTGATATTTTTGATTAAGCTTTAGTTTATTTTTTATATTATTTTTTTATTTTTCTATTTATTTTATTTATTTTAAAATAAATAATTAATCAATAAGATTGATCGAAATGATTAATAATTGAAATATCTAAATTGATTTTTAATATTTGATATCTGAAATGATTTTTGATTTATAAAATTGATTTTAATATTCAAATATTAATTATGTATTTTTGAATATTTAAATTTTATATAGTTATAAACAAATATTTAAATTTTTTATTTTTAAATGGAAATCCTATATTAGATTCATTTTCTTTTTAATAATTATTTTAAATATTTTTTTTATAGTAACCTGATATTTTTAATTTTTATGCTAAATATAAAGCTCTTCTTACAAATCTCAAAGATTTTCCATATTTTGCTTTAATAAAAACAATATTTTGAAATTTTTTTATATAAATTTGATTACTATAGACCTGATAAATCTTATCAAAATTTATTCTTTCATGAATTGTTAATGTAGAATTATTATTTTTAACAATTGATAGTACATTCAATACAGCTAATTTTTCATTAGTAACACTAAACTTTAAATCATTATACCAGCATCTATTTATCAATAAAATATGAAATTTAGCTTATAAACTTTTCCTAAAAACTTTATAAAGTATCTACAAAAAATACCAAATGATATCAAGAGATTTCAAATACAACAATTACTTCTATTTATCATTAAAATAATAAAATATGATTTTATTTATAATAACTTAGACTTATTTCCAAATTTCAATAATCATTACATTTAGAATATTCCAATCATAAATTATAATAAAACTTGTAATACTCATAATCATCTTTATGAAAACTTTTCTTATAATCTTTATAATCTATATTATCAATCTAAAAAAATATAAAAGGTATCCATTTTGATCTAATCATATAACCATTTAAAATAAATAAGTGATCAAACTTTATTTCATTTGTAACAAAATCCTAAAATATATAGATATAGCTAATATTATTTTATTTTTAATATAAAAAAAATACATATATATAATTGCATTTCTGATATATCTTCTGTTACAGAAAAATGATTTTTTATTTTTTTTATTTCTAAAATATTAAAAGTATAATATTTAAAAGACTATTGAAATTTTTGATTATAATTTGAATTTGTATAAATCAAATTTTTTTTGTATTTTTTATTAGGTAAAGATGGAAATATTTGTTCATAAAATTTTGTAAAAATGTAAATTAATAAATAATTCTAATAAATGTATATTAATTGTTAGATTTTTATATGGATAAAGTCTTGATTTTGTTAATAACTACAATATATTATAGATATGTTTCATTTGAATATTGCTACGTAAATTAATATAGATCAATATTTTAAATACTATCAAAAATGTGTAAAAAATAATGGAAACATATTTTTATTGCATTTAATCAAGAAATTAAAAACTGATAATAATATCTAAAATAAAATAATGTATTAATAAGATATTAATATAATTATTTTAATTTTAATATATAATATAATATACTACTCATAAAGCATATAAAATTATAAAAATAAAATTTTAATTTTACTTTGATTTTGTAAAGATAATATTCTTTTTGATATAATTAAACAGCTTTAACAAATAATAACTAGCTTTTAAGATAATTTGCTAGTAAACAATTCTTTAATAATAATAATAAATATAAAGTAATCTATGAAGTCTATTCTGCTACTTTATAATTATTATAATGAAGAATTTTATTTCATGGTAGATATCCTAAAATGTTTTAACTGCTTCCATTTTAGTATTTCAGTATTAATTTCATTTCATCATTTACTGCTAAATACATATAGTTAATTATTAAGAATAGGATTTTTGAAAAAGATATCTATCCAATGTTTTAATAAATATGTAACAATATTTTTATATAATAAATGTATAATATCTATTGGAAAACATGTAGAAAACAAATTGTTTTTATATCTAAAAGAATATTACATCTAATAATACCTATTTAAAAATAGTTAATATTTATCATATTATAATAAATAAATATATTAATTTTACCTAATTTAGAAGCTAATTTATTATATGATATTAATGGTGATATTTTTTTTATCCGCTTATTTTTTTCTTAAAAATTTTATGAGTTTTTATTAGTAAAGTTAATGGATTATATAATTGGTTATCTTGATTTAAATTATCTAATGAAGGTGTAGTTAATAATATACATGATTATTATATATTTCTCAAAGATCATAATAATGAGATATCTTATAAGAATTATAATTAGTTAAATAAGTAAGTTTTGATAATTCAGAAGTATTTCTAAACTAAAAAAGTATAATAGCTTTTAGAAGAAATTTTTATTCATAAATATTCAATCTTATCTAATATAATTTTATATATTAAAAATAATTACAATTATAAATTTTAAATAAATCTATTTTTATATTATTATAATTACTTTCTAATAAATATAATTCTTTAACTATTAGCTTTATAAAATAATTAAAATCTTTTGGAGTATTAGGATCAGAAATGATTAGAGTAATAAGTAAATTTTTTTTATACATTATTCAGGTGATAAATTAGCATTAATAATATTAGCAAATTTTTTAAATGCAGATCTATATAGACTAGCAGCTATTTTTTTCTGCAGTTATCAATGTAAATTAGCAGATCTTTACAGAAAAAAATAAGTAAAATCTACGCAGATTTTCAACTTTACAGATTTTATTATTTTTTTATCTGTGAAAAATTTTAGATTTAAAGTTCTGCACAGATTTTACAAATTTAAATCTTCGAAAAAATGTAATATTTTTTTACTGAAAATACACAAATAAAATTTTATTATAGCAATTTTTAAATATTATCATTATATAATAAATGAAAAAGTTAATGTAAACTAACTTAACTAAAATAAATCAACTAGTAGTTACTAATCTTTGAAATTAGTAAAAGTAAATAAAAAAAATAAAAAAATTGAAAAATTCTGAAATTTGTAACTATAAAGTAGGTCAATGATGATAGCATCTTTACATTACGATTATTTAACAAATAGTAAATCTAAGTCATTAATCCAAAAAAGATGAATTAATTCAATAAATAAATTTAAATGCATAATTAAAATATAGACAGTAATCAACTCTTACTTACGAAATTATCATATTTATCATCAGCTGTAGTTTTTTCTCTAGCTGGTAATTCACTTTGTTCGCTTTGTTCATTTTGCTAATTTTTATGGTTTAATTCATCTGTTTCATCTTTTGTGATTTCTTGCATTATTTTAGATGTAACTAAAATTTAGCTTTCATATATACACTGTTGATTAATTAAGCATTAATATTATTAAAATATAACTAAGTGAAATATAACTTTCGAATTTTGATAAATTGTGAATATTATTTTACCAAGAATGTATTTATTTTTCTTATGACAGATTTATCATTACATTTGATTTTGAAGCTCTTGGAATTTAGAAGAATATTGCAGATTGATAGCAAAAAGGTATAGTGCATAGTAGAGAGCTCTTTACCTCTATATTATTTAAAAATGAGATAACCAATTTTAGTGAAAAGTTCTTGGTTCGAAAAAAGTTCTAGATACACAACTTGTATTTTTGAATCTTGTTTCTACTCAGCTAACTTCACAGAAGGTGTATTATTATTTACACATTCTAATTGTTGTTTTCCAAAAGTGATAAACATAGTGTTTTGAACATCTGCAGTAAAATCATTTTGCTTACTTCGGCATTTGTTTTTAAGCTAAAAAATAAAAACAAAAAAAACTCAGTTATTTTTTTTGATAAGTATTAAATACTTGATATTTTCACTTATATTCAGTAATAATTTTATATCAAAAATTAAAATCCAATTATTTATTTTAATGATTTTGATATAATATTTTGTGTGAACTTCAAGATAATTTTCTAGAGCATCTTGATATTCTTTGTTTGATAGAAAAAGTATATTTGGTACAAGTTCCTTCGAAATGTCTTTATAGGTACACTACAAAGATAACTAGCATTTTAATTAGCTTAATATCAAAGTAATAATATTAAATATATTAAAATAACTTATATTTCAAAAATCATCAGAGAGTTTGTCGACTATGATAAGTTTTTGAATCAATATAGTATCTTTTCATTATTAGTCATTAATAAATCTACAGAGCTTAAAAATTGCAGTTATTTTTTCATTTAACATAATCATCACATAAGTAAATTTTTTCTTTATTAAGAATTCTTTATTAGATTGTAAGGATGCTGGTGAAGGCGATTGCAAATTATTAAAATAATCATCATTATCATGTTTATCATCGATTTGCATAGATTAGGGAGTCATTCTTGAGGGATTTCTTGATGGAGTCTTTGAAGAACTTCTTAAGGAATTTCTTAATAGAGTTTTTGAAGAACTTCTTGAGGGATTTCTTGATAGAGTTTTTGATCTTTCATGATCAATTATTACTAGTTCTGGCAAATCAGTAAATTTATTTAATAAGCCTTTGGATAAAAATAAAGTTGCTTCTTAAAGATATCAGTTGATTAGTTACTTTTTGATAACATTTTGGAGAACTTGTTTCTGGTGATTTGAGTGGCTCTTTTTTATATTTGTTCAGATCTAAGAGATGTAGTATCACTACATTCTTCTTTTGAGATGTCATGTAACATTCTCTTCTTTAGATTTTAAAATGCCTGCAGATAATTTCTTTTATGAATGTAATAATTCTAATTAAACATATTTATATTGAATTATAAAATAGTTAAATATCATTATAATATCTGCAAAAGAATATTTTCGTCTCCTGGTGATTTGACACAATATACTAATACAAAACATCAAAGAAGAATGTTACTTTCTCTATAAAATAAACCTATTTGATAAGAAATTCTACAATTATATAAACCTGTTTGATGAAGATTTCTACAATTAAAAAGACCTGAATATGATGAAAATTTATAGAATACGCTAATTATAATGCTAATTTCAGTTACTTCACAAAAAAAGTTTGCATCACAAGATGATGGTGATATTGGGATGAAGAATATAATATTTAACAAAAATCTAACTCAAGAGAATGAAAAAATAGTAGATATTATGATTGATTTGGAGAGTAAGTCACTCTATAATTTGTGAAAAAGAGTATGGGTTATAGAATCAGATATATAGAAGAGAGATCTGATAAAAAGTTAGAAATAGAAATACCAATAATAAATCTCGATGATATTGATTTTGATTCTGAAAATCTTTAGGAAGCAGCATTAAATGATATTTTAGATGCTAACAAAGGAAAAAATTTATCAGAAAATGTAGCAAATTGGCCAAATGAAATATACTGTGATTTCATGAAGTTGATCATACAAGAAAATATTTCTAATAGTATCAGTGATAAAATAATTAAATTTTTCAATAAACATAGTGTATTAGAAAAATCTCTATTACTAAGTTCAACGAAAAGTGGCAAAGATTTCCTAAATCAAATAAATTCACTGTCATTAAATTTCAAAAAGAAGGTTATTCTAACTAATTTGAGTATTAAGTTTTCACTTATTATTATCCAATTTTTTGTACAATTCAAACTCTTTTGTAACGCCTAAAAGTGGTTGATAATTTTGTTCATAAAGGAGTCATAAAAAAGGATAATAATAATAAAAGAATATTTAGAAAATCATTGAATGTAACTAGTGGTTGAAAATGGAGAAGACCCTTTCACCCTAAATCATCTATTATCAATTATTTATATTCAGACCTTCGATAGACTTGGTAAGACATTGCCAATACATATATATTTTTTTATATACCCCTTTTGAAATCAAATTTTAAAAAGTTTCTACAAATCGTAAAGTAAAATATAATTCTAACCCTTATTTCTAACTTCTAACTCTAATTTAACTTTATTTAAAATTATATGCTACGCTTTAGCCTTCAGCCTACGCTTAGGCGCTCGCATCTATTTTATCCTAAACTAACCTTCTCCTTTATAAATAATGATTCTAATGATAATTTAATAACTAATATTTATCTAAATATCCTCTATTTTTCTTTTTTTCACATAGGATTAGTTGGATATATTACACGAATATAGCCTACATTATTATATAAACTACACTTGTTTTAATAGAAATAACTTTATTTAGATTGTTTTTAACGGTTGAGAAAGATTGACATGCCACTTTGATGAGACTTTGAAGGTTGTTTATATTTTTCTTTGTATTATTTTTATATGTGTCATCACATCGACATATTAATGTTTGTTTTCTAAGTTTCATTTTGTAGCTTTTCAAATCTTCCTTTTCAAATAAAAAAACCTTGTTAATGAGACCAATGTTTAATATGTTTAAATGTGAACTTCCAGTAAAGGATGAAAGGGTAAAGGAGAAAAAGGAAGGATGTGAAATGATGGTGAAAAGCCACAATAAGTTAACGATCAAATAGTCATATAACCAAAATATGCACAGAGTATTATAATTTATAACAGATTTTAGTTATAATTAAACATTAATTTATTAATTTATTTATCTTATATATATTTTTCCTAACATTTTAAATTGATTAAATATCTCTTGTTCTTGCTTAACTATAATAACAATAATTAAACTATACATTATTTAGGCTTTGTCTAAGCAAGCTTGTTCGCATTTATATAACATTTTTTCGCAAATTTCACAAGTATTAATCAAATGTATGATATCATAAATGCTGATCAACATTATTAACCAATAAGAATAAGAATTTAAATAATCGAACTGAAAAAAGTAACCTATCGAAAGGGCTGGATGTGGATAATTATAATACGTTAATGTTAAATGAACTTGGTAACATGAGCACAACCTAATTAGGAAATTAAACATGAGGGAACGAGCATGAGTTAATAGTGAATGAGTGAAGTTGAGAAGGACCATTATTAACTTATTAGGTAATTATACAGGTCGTCCTGTAACAATATATAACTTTTTTTTTTTTTTTTTTTTTTTTTTTTTTTTTATTCGAGTTGTAATCATTTACTAAGTATAAAAATCGAACTAAATCATTTTTCAGCTTTTCAAGTTTTTCACAGAAAAATTTTGGACATGCCTTTTCCCACACTTTTCCAAACTCTTATCGCCGTAACTGAAGAGAAAATTTATATACCGTTCAACAATAGTGAGCAGTAACTAGTATTTCTTAGGCGTCACGTAAGGTACCTTCTTTTCCCCTGGAACGGTCTTCGATATCGTTCTCATAACGTTAGGACCAGGCTTTTAGCTATTATTATAAGGGAAGTATCTTTTTCTTTTCCCCTTTAATGACCCCTTCCCTTACTTAGATTAGTTTATTTTATTTTTCAAACTGTTTTTATTTAACAATGAGATTTAGGTTTTCGTGTAGATCGAGGGTCGTAATAAGGTTTAAAGTTGAGAAGCATTTCATGTGGCATCTTTGTTGTCATTCTTAGGGTAACGGTTTGATGAACATTGATGCAGATTACCCCCGTGATTTGCCAATCTGGCCCAAGAGTGTTCTAACGTGTAGGCTCCTTGATGAATATCAAATTTAGTGGGTTTTGCACACATGAGCTTCTTCTTCGGGTAGCTGTTATGATCCTCCTTCTTAGGTTTACCTTGTTATTCTATTCGTTGTTAGTAATTACAGTTCCTCTCCCATACATTCTTAGTACTTCCTCTAACTTATTTTTTCCTTCATTTTTATCTAATAGGTGGTAGATTTTCATTCTAATAATGCGTTGCCTAAGGCTATGTCACTGGTATTTATAATTAATGAACGGAGTAATTATATCAGTCTTTTCATAAAGTTATAATTATGGTGCTTGGCTATTTTATGAGGGAAGTATCTTTTTCTTTTCCCCTTTAATGACCCCTCCCCTTACTTAGATTAGTTTATTTTATTTTTCAAACTGTTTTTATTTAACAATGAGATTTAGGTTTTCCTGTA